CCGGAGGTGTGGGTCAGCGAGAAGAGATGATGATGGTGATAACTGGGAGCCGGTGCATTACTGCATCGATCGGGTCGGGCCTTTCAGCGCCCGCCGCTCTGATTGCCGGCACTCGGGCCGACAGGAATCCGATGGCGCTGTCTGTGTGTTAATGTGCGTTTGTGTGTGTGGAGGGTGTGGCTCTGCAGAGTGTGTGTGTGTGTGTGTCAGAGCAAGTAGCAGCTCTAACAGCTGATCCAGAACCAGTAGCAGGAACTGAAAACAAAGGAGGAGGAAAGTCTCAGGTGTAAATTATTTATAGCTGCTCAGGTTTGAGTTGTCAGTTTGCACAGTGCAGCGGTGGTTTGTGTGTGGCCGGTTCTGGGTTCGAGTCCCAGCTGGAGGTTACACGTTCTCCCATCCACTTTCCTGCAAGAGTCTGAAAACAAGCAGGTTACACTGTTCGTGCGTGTCAGTTGCTATGTTGACGTGTGCAAAATTATTTGATTGGATTGAAATGTATTCGGATTAAATAATCCGAATGTATCGTTTACATGGGCACAATCTGATCATGGCGAGCGTTTACATGCAGCAGGCTTTTATTCAGAATAGAAGTACTGACATGCGCAGAGTAAGTATGTTTACATGGACATAAGTAACCGGATCAAACAGCCGTTCGGAATAAAAACGCGTCATGTCAACACCCTGTTCGGGTTTTTTCTTTTTATTCAGCGTGATCCGAAATCATTTGTGATCAGAACGAAACGGGTGGTTTACGCCGATTCATAACCCGAACGGTGCGCATGTAAACACTTGATCTGTTTGTTTTTATCTGATGGTGAAAAACTGACCTGACTGCGCTTTGCCATTTCCGCCTGGCTAATGCTAATAATATTAGCATGTCAGGGAAGCAAAACTGGTCGGTGAGCGACACAATATTTCTACTAAACTTTGAAAGAGCTCAAAATGATCTGTATCACCTGTAGCTCAGTCAGGGAGTGCAGTATTGTCTCATTAAAACCTGTCGCGGGTCCATTTGGGTGCTCAGGTTTGTTTACGTTCATCCCAGAAGTAGAACTTCTTCTCCTTCAGTGTTTTTTTTTTTTAAAGGAGAGTTTACCACTCTGCGCATGTCAGTACTGCTGTTCAGAACAAAGCCCGCTGCACGTAAACACTTGTCATGAACAGATTGTGCCCATGTAAACAATACATTTGAATTATTTAATCTGAAAACATTTCAATCCGGTCAAAAAATGTTGCACATGTAAACATAGCTAGTGGTAAACTCTCTTTAAAAAAAACATAGAAGTAGTAGTTCTACTTCAGGGATGAACATAATCAAACCTGAGCATCCAAAATGGACCCGTGCCAGGTTTGAAAAACGATGGAGACGTTACTGCACTCCCTGATTGAGCTACAGGCGAAGCGACGCATGGTTCAAATGCACCTCTTTAGAAATGTGTCACTCACCGACCAGTTTTACTTCCCCGACATATTAGCATCTAGCCAGGTGGAAATACGTGAGGTTGACATAGGTCACACATGCGCAGTCAGGTCAGTTTTCCACAATCAGAATAAGATGATCAGATTAAGTGTTTACATGCACACCGTTCAGATTATGAAACGGCATAAACCACCCCTATCATTCGGATTACAAATTCATTCAGATTAAGCTGAATCAAGAATCCAAGGTTCTTTATTGTCATTCGCATCACATGTGATACATGAGGTGGAACGAATTTGTGTACACAGGGTCCCAGTTACATCCAACAAAAGTATAGAATGTAAAAGAAAAACAGTAATAAGATCTAAGATATTCATTCAACCTTTATTTAGACAGGTTAATCCCATTGAGCCTCGAGAACTCATTTACAAGAGAGATCTGATTTCAACAAAAAATGATAACAATGGACAACAGCGACAACAATAGACAGTTATAAAAGAGGCATAAGATTTTTTTTTTTTTACAAATTAAAATAAGATGGCAACAAAAGTAGCAAAAACAGCTAAATTATAAGGCGAATGTAGAAAACTAAAAACAGGAACATGTTGATATATGAACTAAGAAGCTCAGAATAATCCAAATAGTGAGATTACGTGAAGCATTTTTATTCCGATTACTTATGTCCATGTAAACATACCTTATGTGAGGTACTGTGATGGAGTGGCGACCCGTCCAGATGTAGCCCCGCCCCTCACTTGTAGGCCCTGCCCCTTACAGCCTTAAACCAGTAAATCAGTTGTTAAGACTTAAAACTGCTTCTTCTTCTTCAGAGACAAACTAAAACATCAGTTTTCTGTGTGAACAAACTAATTCCTCCATGTGGACTCAAACCACGTGGCGCTGTGGTGGGTCCTCTCAGGTTCTGGTCCTGCTGCTGGATCAGAACCGCTCACATGCTGATAGGAGATATTGATCAACGCAGAACATGGAAGCTCTGCTGCTCTTCTTCAGCTGGATATTTTTAGCTGTTTGAGGCACTGATTCACAGATCATAGAGCGCACGTACACACACACACACACACACACACACACACACACACACTTCCTCACAGACCGGCTGAGCAGCAGTGAGGCCTCGGAGGCGTCATTAATGTGAGAAGGCTGTTGTGTCTGTCAGGACTTAATGAAAATAGAACACACACACAGGTAAAACACAACAACACACACACAGGAAGTGGAGTGTGTGTGAGGTTGTAGTGTCTGCGCACTTCAGGTTTCAGGTGTGTGTTTAAGTGTGTACTCCTCTGTGTACGTAGCCGAGTGTGAGAGAGAGACGGGCAGCTGCTGAGTTGTGGCGTCTCGCTGCTGCAGCCGAGCGAAGGAGACATTAACTAACTTCTGTTTTCTAATGGAGATTAATGAAGCCCGAGAAACACACACACAGAAACACACACACACACACACACAGAAACACACACACACAAACACACACACACACACAGAAACACATGCACAGAAACACACACACACAAACATGCACAGAAACACACACACAGAAACACACACTAACCCAGACTCACTGCTGAAACACACTTCTACCTGAGAGGTTGATGAGTTTAAGTTGGAAAACAAAAGAGTAAAATTGAATAAATAAATGAATGAAAACAAGGAAGGGGGGGAAGGTCAGATCTAGTGAAAGAAAGCAAGGAAGGAGATAAACAAAAAAACTGAAGGAAGGATGGAGGAAAGGATGGAAAGAGGGAGGTAAAGAATGAAGGAAAGATGGACAGGAAGAGGAAAAGAAGCGAGTAAAGTTTATGTAGGAAGGATGGAAGCAGAAGGGATGATGCATCGTTTGTTTTTGTCTGTGATTATTTTCACATCCAACATGTTTTAATGCTCCGAGAGCTCAGACAGAACCTTAAAAAGAACCGAGCTCGTGATGGAATCTGGATCGGAACCATCAGAACCTCTCTCCTCCTGTGAGATTTGTCTAGTTTCACCACAACAATCTGAGCTGGGATCAGCTGATTTTCATGTAAACAAATGGTTCCGGTTTCCGTCTGTGTCGTTCAGAACTTTCAGAACCGTGTCCACATGTTGGACCGGCTCCCTGAGGTTGGCGGGGAAACAATCGGATCAGAACGCACTGAAGGCTGCCAGCTGAGAGCAAACAGTTGTCCTCTGCTGTCACACGAGACTTTCTGATTGGACCAAACCACAAACCTAAACGCCAACAATAAACGAGGTTTGAGCAGGAACTGATGGTTCTGATCCAAAGTTCTGACAGAGACCCTGTACTGCTGGTTCTGCTTCTGTAACTTCTCATTTGCAGCCTTTGATGAAAGTTATTTTAACAATCCTGATGTTCCGTGTCACCTCATATGAAGGTTCTGTTTACAGAACCAAATGCAGAACTTTTAGTTTTGATCCAGAAGTCGGACTCTTTCAATTTTTTTTAAATCGGCTTTTATGAAAAATAAACTTCCTGTTTTCATTTTTTTAATTAAGTTCTGTAATCTTGGACTTTGGGTTACAACGGATCATTAAAAAGTGGGCGTGGCCTGTTCTTCTTGGCTGTTACTGGTTCTCTACCAGTGCCTGTTCACCTGGTGTTAGAACCATCTCGCCTGTGTCTGATGGTTCCTGGTTGGTTGATGGAGCTGAACTAGGAGGTCCTAAAAGCTGCAGACGGGGTTCGGGTCTGAACTGGGGTTCTGGTTTTAAACAGCTGGTGTTTCTTCTTCAGTGGTGTAATACCTCAGGGAGCTCCAGCAGAGGCCTCCACCTCCTCACGGCTGCTCCTCTGGGACCCATCAGCTGATCCTGCTCAGAGTTCTGGTTCAGCCGTCTGTCTTCACCTCCTTACTTCCTGTTTTCACATCTTTCTTTGTCTTTCTTTGTCTGTCTCTGGAGTTTACTCTCATCATTTATTCATTTCTGTTTTGCTGATATTTTATTTTTTATTAGTTTCTTTAATCAAGGAGTAATTTTAAGATTTTATTTCCATTTTCTCTGTAATCTTTCTTTTAAATTTTTGGTCCTGTTTGATGTTTTCGATCTATTTTATCTTCACACATTAACTCTTAATTTTTTAATAAACTTCTCATCACATTCCCTTGTTTACTTTTTCTTTTATTCCTCTTTTCTCTGCATCCTTTCTTTCAGTGTTTATCTGGTTTTGTTGTTGTTGTTGCCAGTGGTTGCCATGGCGACCTGCTGTGCTGCAGGCGTTGAGGTTGGACGTTTCCTGTCCTGAGGGATGATGGGAAAACGGCCTCGGGCTCGTTGGTGTATTAATGACTTTCCTCCTCCTGTGTTCATCCCTCCATCCGTCCGTCTGTCTGTTTGGAACCTCTCGGGCCGTTTCATCACAGACAACCTGAACGGGCTGAGTTCTAGGCTTTAGAACGAGCTGAAATGTTCCTCAGAGGTGAAACTCGCCTCGTGGGATCGTCTGTTTCTTCTGAAACGCCGGTTCAGAACATCCAGACTTCTTCCTGACGCTCCTCCGACTCAAGAGCACATTTTTTATCCAGTCCGTACGCTTCTGACCCGACCTCTGTGTCGTTTTCAGGAGGTGCTGTTGAAGCGGGCCGCGGACCTGGTGGAAGCCCTGTATGGGATGCCGCACAACAACCAGGTGAGTCGGCAGCTTGACACACCTGTTCAGGTGTTTGTACGTTACACAGGCTGCCAACAGAAAAGATTCTACCGCGGTTCAGAACTGAATTAACAATGCAGCGTTCCCTGAAGGAATGCATATCGCCCGTCATTGATATGTCTGAGTGATGGGGATGATTCTCGGCTACTACCACACTATTTTATAATTTACATCTATCCTTTTGTTTACTTTATTGGCAGCCATCTTCAATAAGTTCAACTACAAAAGTTAATAAGTTGTAAGTGTTTCATATTTCTAAGATTATTAAAATCTGTTCACTGGTTCATTAGATATTTTGCTAACAGACAGAAACTTACATGGTCACCCAACCATACAATAATTATTTTTTAGTGTCTATTTAAAAAGGAAAACAATAAAAAACATGGGCGTCTAATAAAACAACCAAGTTGGAAAACTTCTATGGTGTTGCTGAAGAGGTTGAAACTGAGTTGTTAAAGCTAAAAGTAGCTAAATGTTAGCTAAAACCTGAAAGTATCAAGAGGCTAGCTAAAAAAAACTGATTAGAAGCAGCAACAGGCTAGATAAAAGCTAAACGTAGCAAAAGAAACATAACCAGAGCCAGACTTCTGAAGATTTCAAGATAACCTAAATTTTTGAAGGAGTTAAATAAATCTGTGTATTTTTAGTGTATACCTAAGCTTTTCCTTTGAGCTAGCATTTTGCTATTTGCTAGCGTGTAGCTACCTTTAGTTATGCTTTTGCTACTACTATACTATGGTGAGTGGTGGCGCAGAGGTTAAAGAAGATGGGCCTGTGATTGGAAAGTCGCAGGTTCAACTCCCGGTACCGACAACATCAAACTGTGGGTGGAAAAGGTGAAACACCCACACCTGCCTCCACCCTCATTCGCCTCACTCTGGGCCCCTGAGCAAGGCCCTCAACCCCCATCATCTGCTCCCAAACAGGTCTCTCTTGAAAATGAGTTCTCATGACTCAATGAGACTACCTGGATAAATAAATAAAACTTGCAGCTTGAAAGTTGCATCTTTTACCTTTAACTTCGTTTTAGCTTTTTCCACAGATTTCAGCTGTCATTTATCAGCATCCCAAAAAGTTACCTAAATGTTTGTAAATAAAAGTAAATAATCTTGAAAATTATAAAAGTTACAAGAAACAGATGTAACAGCATCATCTCCTGAATGAGCTGATGTATGAAACGGCTGAATCTGCATTAACACTTCGCCATAAATAACACAATGTAGGATTTCTGATGACTGATTGTTGGTGACGAAGCCTTTAGCTCGGGGTCCGGCGGTGCCTGCAGAACGTCTGAACTGTCGTTTCTCTCCTTCCTGCAGGAGATCATCCTGAAGCGAGCGGCCGACCTCACCGAGGCGCTCTACAGCGTCCCGCGCAGCCACAACCAGCTGCCCTCGCTCACCGGCTCCGCCGCTCACTCAGGGATGATGGGCGTCAACTCGTTCAGCAGTCAGCTCGCCGTCAACATCTCCGAGGCCTCGCAGGCCGACCAGGGTGAGAACCGCAGCTGGGGTTCTGTTCGTCTCAGGGAGGACTGAGGGGAACCAGAACCTGGGTTCCTGGGTTGGGTTCATGAGTTCTGAGCAATCAGCAACGCCTAGAAAAACCTGCAGTTTGTGAAGGCCCTTCGACAAGAAGCTGGAGCTGCTTTTCCTCCACAAAACACCCCGTACCTCCCCCTCCACCCCTCATCTGGTTCTCCCATCGGCCCGACAGCGAACACCTTGCAGGAATCCATGAGGTCATGGGAACCAAGGATCCATACCTCTGTTTTTACAGTCTCCCCCTCCAGCTCCGAGTGCCGTCGCAATTATCCTCCGTGATTAAAGCACGAATAGGAGCCCGGGTTCTAACGGACGCAGCTGATTAATGGGACTACACGGGACCAGCTCAACCCTCCTCAGTTCATTCATCAGGAGTTTCAGAACTTCCCGTTTCTGCTGCTCAATAAGTCTGAGTGTAAATCTGAATTGGCTTCAGAGGATTTACAGAAAAATGACCCACCTGTGTGCAAAAGATATTTAAATGTTCAAATATATATATAAAAAAAACAGTCCAGAACAAACTGTTTCTCAGAGTTATTGACATTATGAGGAAACACCAAATGCAGGACCGACAGTTTCACGAGGGTTTTACCGACTTTTCACAGATCACTGACAACCAGAACCTGAAACCCGTTCAGATGTTCTGACTGAGGTTGACACGATAATACGAGACATACGGGGCGATAAAGTGAAGCTGCTCTCTCAGATCAGTGGATGTGGTCCGGTTGGTGCTGCTGACCCGTCCGTCAGCTGATCAGCAGCGACACGTGTTTCTGGTTCAGGTGTCAGCCGATGAGAGGAAGTGATCTGGATCGGATCAGCTTCCCACACCGCCACCGCAAACAGTCGGGCGTTAAAGAGCCACATGTGTTTCCCATCGGCAGCTGCTCCTGCTGGGAATTACCCAAACTGGGAACAGGACTTTGGACTGGCTCAGCAGGCTCGGCCCGGGGTCGGTGGGAACTCCGGAGGGGTCAGAGGTCAGGCAGAGTGTCGAGGAGACAGGAAGGTGATGATGTCACCGTTGAGGCTCCAGAGATTGTTGTCAACACAGACACAAGAAAGAGGCGGAGCCAATGAAAGGAAGACACAGGAAATAAACTATCAAAGTAAAAGCTCTCAGTAAATCAAAGTGAAATCACTGGGGATCTGTTTGGTTTCATACAGAACAAATCCAGCTGTGGAACGTCTGTAAAACTATTGGTTTTTATGTCATTTTGTTTTTACATTATTACAAGACTCTCATTTCTGACAGGATTTTTGTCTCGCATTCCACATATTAAAAGTATAAATAAATTTGTGTAGTTTGATCAGGAACAGTGAGTTTTGACTTTGGTAAAATGTGCAACATACGACAAGTTCCTTTGTACTGAAACTCTGGCACAACAATTTCCTGCGGGATCAATGAAGTACTATCTTATCATAAATAAAATTCAATTCAAAAATTTCCCCATAGATGACAACTGAATTTAGTTTAATCAAGTGAAAAACATGAAGAATTAACAGGAAGAGGATTTAAAATAAAGCTCATACTCTTCAAAATAAGAGTCTGGTTGTGTCATAGTGGGTTTTATAAAAGCTGAAGGATGATGTAGCTGCGCTGAAACAACTAAACATTTGTTTTTCCTGATGTCTTTCAGTAAAACAACCATTTTAAGACGATTGTTTTGTTTTGATCTTGAGACGGTGAATTAATTTTCTCCCGTCCTTTCAGGTTATTCCCGTAACTCAAACAGCGTGTCTCCTCGCGGCTACGTGCCAAGCTCCACGCCTCAGCAGTCCAACTACAACACCATCACGTCCACGATGAACGGGTACGGAGCGGCGGGGATGACCAACCTGGGCGTGCCCGGCTCCCCCAGCTTCCTCAACGGCTCCGCCGCTAACTCTGCTTACGCAAGTGAGTTTATGGAGAGATTTTAGGTTTTTTTTACTTTTATGTAGGAGAAGGAAACCTGCTCAGAGAGTAAAAACACACTTTACATCTGGGAGGAAACAGGTGTGGGAAAAACTCACCTGAAACTCAAACGCACGTCTGACTTTAAACCTAAAAAAAATTTAATTTAAAGGAATATTTCAGCCACTGAGGCGGGTTTCTGTGAAGTTTTAAACAATATCTCACCTGTTGTAGATAGCGCTTTAAAAGACCTCAGTTTGGATAAATAGTTTATGTGACAGGACTCATGAGCTAATGGCTAGTCTGAACACAGCTGTGACCCAAGTTAATCAAACAATAACAATCTAAAAAAAGGGCAATTCATGTTAATGATATGTTACATTAACCCACTGTGTGTTATACTGCACTGTAAAAGTTATTGGTCTAAGTGTAATTAACTTTGGTTAGACTGAGTAAACATATAAAATACCTAAAGACCAGTTCTATTCTGTTAGAATAATTTGGTATTTCCCACATTTGAACCAGGCTTGTTGGGAAGCTCATTACTGAATAACCATCTTCTGCTTTCACAAGATAAAAAATTAATGTTTGGGGAAAATAAGACTATTTTCAAATGTTTTTGGATTAATAAGAAGATATACAGCACGCACAAGTTTTTAACTTGTGTGGTTTTCACATGTAAATCGAACAGTACATGTAGCACCTAGCAAGATGGCTGCCACAAATCTCGCCATCAATGGTTATTTTAGTTTCTCATTTGTGTAAACACTGACACACACACACACACACACTCTGAGGGTCTGAATTAACATTGTTTGTAGAAGCTTGTGCAAACAGCTATCTGCACCAGGTAAGATACTTCTACAGAGTTCTCCCACTTCAGTATGGCTGAAATAACCAGCAGCAGCTCTGTTGTTGGTTAACCCCACAGAAGTTTGTGCTTTCAGTTAATTTCCTGAGTTGAAGTGTAACTTTGAGCTCTGAGGAAGTGTCTGTGTGTGAAATGACTGTGGTTACTGAACTAAGCTCATGTAACCAACATCCAGAACGCGTTTGGAGTTCCTGGGTGAAGCTGAAATGTCAGATGTGTTTGTTGGAAGAGAAGCTCCGGCAGGTGGAAGCAGGGCCTTCCTCTTGCAACAGAAAGTGATGAACATGCCTGCAGTCGGAGCTGTAGCTCGACAGGCGCAGGTGTGTTTTTGGAGAGCGGTGAAGTCTGAAAACACCCCACCCCAACCCCCACTCCCCGCACTGGGAGCGCTCCATTGTTTTGGCTTCAGTTTCAAAGAGCTCAGCAAGTCTCAGAGAGACTCGTTTAGAAGCTCAAACTGCGTCTCCGTGCCAGGTGATGCTGCCATCCCCGGCGACCAAACAACGCCTGGCTGAGCTACAGTTTCCTGTACGGTGTGTGTGTGTGTGTGTGTGTGGAATGAACACCCCCATGCATTGTTCACCTCTCCCCCTCCTAACTGTCCTCCTGTCCGTTTACCACCTCCTCCACTAACCCCACTAACATCCTCACCGCATCCTTTCATGCATTCACGCTTTGGGCCAAATCCATTAATATCAGAAAAACAAGAAGGAGCTAAGGAGGAGGAAATGTGAGGAGAGAGGAGCAGCGATTCAGGACGCACTGATGGCTGTTGGCATGAAGCGATAAATCACATTTCATTTTACACACTCCCATTTTCAGACGCTTTTCTTCAATCATTTACAGAAACGCAGAAACTTTCAGTGTTTTTACATCAGAGCGCGACACACTCAGGCGGAGCTGAAGGTTTGGTTCATCGCTGCAGAAGTCTGGGTTCACTTCCAGATTTAACGTAGTTTGTTATTCCTGTTCGAGTCTTTGGCTCCAGATAGATGTTTTTTTTTCTGTTTCTATGTTCTTAAAAACACAGATACACACATTAATTACATCAAAATACAGAGAAAGAACGTTCTACTCTCAGCGAAGGCAGCTCTTTATCAGAAAAGCAACAAATCTTGTGACTTTTTCTGGTGCTGCTGGAGCTTTTTGAGACTCTGAGGTGAAAGCTTGTTTCGTGCTTGCTCCTCTCAATGAGCAGCTGCAGTTGGAGCAGGAGATGTTCACCCCTCTGCAGCCAGACTGCTAATAAATCAAGTGAAGCCGCCACGGGCTTATCCCACCCTGGCTGTAAAAGTGAAAATTTCTTTTTCTAAAATAAATCACTGCACTAAAATAACTCTGTCTCCTCTGAGTCATCTTAACCCGGATAATAGAGGGTTGGAAGTGTGACATCAGAACTACAAGTTAACTTTCTTCTGTCCGTTCCTGCTGTTTTTTTACTCACTTTCTCTCCCACACAGCGTACGTGCACATTTGTTAATTAGGAGTGGCATCATTTAGTGACTTTCTTTACTGAGCAAACAATTCTCCAAGAACTTCGATCTAGTTCAGAGTTTCACTCTCAATCAGAATGAAAAGATAAAAACGGCGGCATTGTTTGAAAGCATTTGTAGCGCGAGTCCCTGGGGATCCACCCAGTCTTTAAAGATCTGTTCATAAAGCAGCAGTTTTTTAAAAAGATAATCTGGAGTAGTGTGGACGGGCTGCCAATCTAACCCCGTTCACGTTGGATTAAAAACCAGGAAGAAAGAGAAAAGTTCCTGCAACATGTTTAAATCGATAAACCAAACGTGCAAAACGTTTTAACGCCACGTGACTTTAATCAGCACGGACTCACCCTATCTTAACAGAGCATCTCCGTTTCCATGACAACCCGACTGCTGCAAAGTTCTGGAGAATTTTCCATCAATTACACAGATCCGGGATTCATTTGGAAGTTATGAATAATGAATATCCTACCTGTTGAAGGTTGCTCTTTGAACAAGCTAATTTTGGAAAAACGATTTGTTTCTGTTCGGACTGATGAGCTAAATGCTGGTCTGAGCAGAACCTGGGTGGAAGTGGATTATGTCGTCCAGTGGATTATGTCGTCCAGGCTAAAACATTTCTTGGTGGCCATCGTGAACTCTGTACTTTTTCATTGCACGGTTTATTTCAGCAGAAACATGAAAAAATTCCTGCCAGATGTGATTCTTGGACACCTGGAAGTGCTACAGCTAACTGCTGCTGTAATAAGTGATTACACAAAACTGGCATGTAGAGGTTTATAAAACCATTTAAGACGGGAGAAAATCTTCTAGCCTCATTCAGACGAGTTTTTAAAACTCGCGTTCGGTGTCTCTGTGTGGACAGGAAACAGAACTTTTCAGAAAGTTTGTCCTGTTTCACGCCGGCTCACGGTCAGTTTGTGCTTTAGAAACCAGAACAACACCAGAGCTGTTATTTATTTATTTATTTTTCTTTGGTAAACTTTGATCTGGAGCTGAAATGGTTACAAACTGAGGGGAGATTATAAAGATCAAAGGAGAACAAAAACGGGTTCTGGTAGAACGTTTAGCCGAGAACACAATGTTCTGTTGCTGTATTCATACGGTATTGCCTCCTAGTGGCACCCTGTGGACATTACAGTGTTTTGTTGCAACGTGCGCAGAAAAACCATCGGGATGTTGTGCACAGATCCAAATCCGGTTCTTCGGGGAACCGTTCCAGGATTAATAATTTTACTGTAAACTTCTCGTCTCTTCGGGTTTTATGGTTGAATCGGGCCAACAGTTGTCATGTTTGACTCGGGGGTCAAACGGGTCGAGTGAAGCTTCTTCCTGCTTGCAGTCAGACCCAGATGTGCGGTTCTTAAAGTGTCGCGTTCTGAAAATCTTCAGAAGTTCCTTTAAGCAGAAAAAAACTAAAATAAAAAAGATGAGGTCAAAAGATGTTTTTCTTGTTTTCTAAACCGCAGGAACAGTTTATACCTGATGAACACCTGCACACACACACACACACACACACGCACACGCACACACACACACACACACACACACCTGTGCAGTGTGAGTCCGGAGCAGTTCTGGTTCTGGTCGGTTTGTTTCAGTCCTTTAAGTTATGGATCAACTTTGCCGGATGTGTTTGTTCTTGGAGCATGTTTTGTTCCTCCAGAACTCGGCCCGATCCTCCTCTTCCTCTTCATCCTCCCCCCACACCCTCTCCCTCACCTGCATGACTCACCTCATCTCCGCCCGTCGCCTGTCCGTCAGCCTTCCTCACCTCCTCCTCTTCCTCCTCTCCAAAGATTCATTCTCTCCTGTCCATATGGTCTCTGCAGTCAAACAGAAGAGCGCCTTCGCCCCCGTCGTGCGGCCACAGACCTCCCCGCCCCCCACCTGCACCACCACCAATGGCAGCAACCTCCAGGGTGAGCATCCCACCCCCCCTCCTGTTCCTCCCACCTGTCAGCACCCTCGTCCCCCTGCAGTCCTCCTGTCCTCAGCTGGACGGATTAAACTGATCAGAGGTCAAAGTTGATCCATAACTTTTAGCTCAAACAGCTTCTTACAGGCGTTTAACTCGTTTTAATTTGTTTTGACAGGTTTTATTTTACAAACAGTAAATATTAATAACGTTATTAGATGAGTAATCACCTATAAAATTATATTTAATGTTTATATATATATATATATATATATATATATATATATATATATATATATATATATAGATATTACCACCAAAACATGTCAAAATTTTATTAAGTACATTTAGATCAGAGCAGATACTCAGAGGGACGGAGGTCAATCCGGTGCCACTTTTATTTTTTTATATTGTAAACGTTGCAGATAACTTTATGGAAGTCAGTTAATGCCACAATAAGTCAGTGGTTTCTAAGGTTGGGGTTAGGACCCCACTGTGGGTCATGAAACACCAGTGAGGGTCTTTAGATAATCTACAGATATCATTTTCATTTAAACACAATGATAATAAATACAATAAAATGATTTGTTTGTCTTTATTCCTTTGTTTATCGGAGTGATTACCAAAATTTGTGTTTAATTTTTCATCATTTTTTGGGGTTAGAAGCTAAAAAGTTTGGGAACTACTACAACAACAACAAAATAATAATAAAAGCCCCAGAAGAGCCAACGAGAAACAGCCATTTATTGTTTACGTTAAATGTTAAGGAACTCTGTACTTGTTGCATTTTTTTAATTCTATATAGATCTTAATAAATTTTAAAATGAACATATTCATAAATTTGTTTTGTTTTTTAACTATAATTTGTAGCAGTAAAGTCATTAAAGGAAATCAAAAGTAAAAAATATCAAACTACAAGAAAAATAAGATGTTCAACAACACATCTACAAATCACTAAAGAAGCTCACGCTTCACTGAAGTCCAAGGCTCAAGTTTTTATATTTTAATTTAAAACATCTATAAACCACAGTTCTACAGAGTCTGTTCCCAGAACCAGAACCATCAACAGTTTTTTATTAAAGCAAAAATCACTATTTATGAAGTTTCTTAGCTGATTTTTCATGAGATGAGTTCGATTTTATGCGACTTGAAATAAGCTCAGAACATTTTTATAAAATAATTTTTTATTTATTTCTCTGATCTGGAGTTTAAACAAACAAAATTCATTTATCTGTTTAAAAAACAATTAAATTCTAAACATTGGTACTAATTTGGTTTTATTTCAGGAAAGTTAAAAAGTTTTTTTCACAGTAAAATTTAACCTTTAACCTAAATTTAACACGATAGCTCAGTGGTTAGCACTGTTGCCTCACAGCAAGAAGGTCTTGGGTTCAATCCCCGGTTGGACCTGGGGTCTTTCTGGGTGGAGTTTGCATGTTCTTCTCGTGCATGTGTGGGCTTTCTCCGGGTACTCCAGTTTCCTCCCACAGAACAAAAACATGCATGTTGGGCTGCCTTCAGGCCCAGACCTCCCTCGCAAAAGAGATCTGAGATCTCAGTGTTGTTTGCCTGGTTAAATAAAGGTTAATAAATAACCTGTCGATCATCAGGAAACTGACATTTTCACAGCTAAACCTGCTAAAAATGTCATTTTAAAGTTTGCTGAATATTAAATAAACATGGAACTTAATTTATTTAGCAGTAAGAAAAACTAACTACACAACTAAACACATTACAAACTAAACACTTAGTTTTATAATCGAGCAGGAAATAAAGGTTTAAAACCAAACTTTAAACTAAAACCAAACAGACTTTATGGATAATTTAAGCCTTTTGTTTGTTAATAAATCAGTTTTGTCTTTAAACTGAACCGGGTTCGGGTTTTGCTCGACTTAATATCAGAAATATTTCTGTCTTCTGTTTCAGCCATGGCCGGACTCATCGTGCCCCCCATGTGAGGACGACCCTCAGAAACATCCTGACAGAACTCCCCCTCCCTGACCTCCTCCAACCTGAAGCACACCCCACACCAACCGCCCATCTGGACCAGAACCGTCCTCTCTCCTGCCAGCAGCCGATGGCGTCCTGCGCCCCCTGCTGGCAGCTGCAGGTCGAGCAAACCTTTGACAGCGAAACCTGTGGACGGCAGCTGCAGCTGGTTCGGCTCATCTGCAACGTCAAACAGAACTGAACCGGTCTCGGGTCGGTCCGAACCACCGTGAGATGAGAAGCGGTCCACCGGGAGCTTCGGTTCACCTCCAAGACGCGAAGTCTCTAAAATAACTTGTCCGAAAATCCTCGCGGAGCTGAAGGAGGTGCTTTCAAACGTCGACACCGAACTGTAACTAAATTATTGTTTTTTAAAGAAAAACGTTAAATCTGAAAAAATAAAAACTTCCTTAAAGTTAAAACACTTTTGAGCTGCGAAGATTTGATGTTAAACGTTGAGAAAACACGCTTTGTGTTTCCAATTTGTTAAAAGGCAGTTTTGTCCACGCTGAGTTTGTCTGTTCTCCAGTTTTGGTCACGGTCCACGTCTTTCAGCTCGCTCTCCGTTTTTTTTCTGCCATGGATCTGAATGGTTCCCGCAGGAACCGAAGCTCTCAGTGGGTCGAGTCCAACGGAGTCCAGGAACCAGGAAAACGTCTTCAAACTCCTCGTTTTTTAATCAAATCTGGAAGAAAACCCGTCAGACGGGATCCAGAGTCAGACCAGGACTGTCCCCTAAACCTCCGTGGACTGGAGTTTTTAAACCTTTCTGTACCGTAACGTTTAACGATGTTTGTGTGTCTCGTCCTTCCGCCGAGGACCGGCGAGTAAATGTTCCACTAACGTTTTCTGTATAAAGTCAGTTTTCTCTCTTTGTTTCTTTTGGTTCCAGAACAAGGGTTCTGGTTCTGTTCTGCAGGTGTGGTAGATCTGAAGCAGAAAGAGTTTTAATCACGTTAAGGTACCAGATGATTTCTGATTGTGCTCATTTTGTATTTATAAAGTCCGTTTTGGGGAGTTCCTCCTGTGATTTAGGCCTGAATGATAGTCTCAGATATATATGTAAACACATTTGATGTCTTAAAACCTTTTAGATATTGTAAAAAGAGTGGGGAAACTGAGAGGAATCAACTTTTTTTTTCTTCCTTTTTTATTTGTAAAAACAAAAAAATCTGTAACGATCAACGTGGTCGCCCATTCCTTGGAAGCAGGACGTAAAACGAGGCTTTCATCACTTTTGTATAAAACTGCTTTTCTGATATTTAACTTTTTGTAAACATTGTTTGTGTTTCTCCTGGTTCTTCTTGTCCTTTGTGTATTATTGTGAAACGTATAATCAATCTTATTTCCTAATGCACTACTTTTGTTGGGGCACTAAATAAGAGAAAAGAAAAAAGTAAAGCTTCTACGCACCAATCAGTCAGTTTGTTTTCTCGAGTTTTGTTTGTGTGAAACTTTTATACAAACAGCAGCAGATTTTTTTTTTTTTTTAAAAACCTCCACTGACGACGTTTTTGTTCTTCCAGTTGAAAAACGTTTCTTTAATTGTTCCGCTCCGACGTTGGCGTGAACAGACCGGTTCCTCTAACCAAACAGAACCTGGCATTAGTCAGTGCGCTCATGTCATGCTGCACGCAGCCAATCAGGTGCCACGGATTATAACTTAAACGTTCCAGCCCACAAAATATAAACGATAATAAACAGAAATCGATGCCATGCTGAGAGCTGAATGACAGCTGAAATTTGTTGAAGAAGCTAAAACAAGCAGAAAAGCAGCCAAACAACTAAAAACGGAGCCAGGTGTCCGAGGTATATTTCAGAGAAAACAATGTTTTACAAGGAATTGAAACGTTTTAGTGTATTTTTAGGCAAAAATATTTTGAAAAGCACAGAAGTTTCTTCTTCCTCCTCCATCTCACTCTGTCCTCTGCATCCTCTCTCCTCACTCAAACCTCCATGTCCTCTCTAACTGCAACCATATATCTCCTCATTTCTAACATCCTTCTACCAATATACCCACTGTCCCTCCTCTGGACAAGTCCAAACCATCTCAGTCTGGCTTCTCTAACTTACTATGGCTGCCTTTCATTCCTCTTCTTTCAAGTGCATACCTCCACCTCTCCAAGTTCTCTTCCACCTGTTCCCTGTTCGCACCACAGATCACAATGTCATCTGCAAACATCATAGTCCACGGAGATTCCTGCCTGACCTCATCTGTTAGTCGGTCCATCACCAGAGCAAACAAGAAGGGGCTCAGAGCAGATCCTTGATGCACTCCCACCTCCACCTTGAAGCCATCTGTCACTCCTACAGCACATCTCACCACTGTCCTGCTGTCCTCATACATGTCCTGTACCAGTCTAACATACTTCTCTGCTACTCCAGATTTCTTTTTGGTTAAAATACACAATTGCACAAAGTACAAGTAATAATTTGATTGTTTTGTCATTTTATGACCACTGGTTTTATGTTTTTGTAACAAATGAAGCTACATATGCATTCAGCTTTCATATTTTAAGAATAAATTTGATTTCTGTAGATCATATCAACACCAACTACTTAATATTTCCCAAAACCAGTGGATTGTACCATTAGATCATATAAAGGGGGGTGCAGACCAAACAGTTTAGTCTACTGAACCAACAGATGGTACCCAAACCTTTTAATAATCTGATGGTAAAATCTGTCACGCCTGATTGGCTGCATGCCATATGACATCAGCAGAGTCTGACCATTGACAGGGATTGTTTTATTAAAAGGAGGAGGAATAAATGCCTCGCAGATGAGCATGCACTAACAGCTGAATAAAAATGTGAAAATACTCAAATTGTCACTGAGTTTCTCTGAATTGGTACTTAGGACACATTTACATCCACACGTTACAGTTGGTGAGCCGTGAAGTTTGAGTTGAAGGAGTCGGGAGCAGAAAAACAAACCCCAGGGCGAGTCTGAAATGTTTGTTAGAAACCTTCACATTGTTGACGATTGTGAGAAGAAAAAAAAAGATGTGTTTTAGTTAAATAAACTCAGGCACGAAGAGTCTTACTTCAACATCCGTCTCCTCTGACCTGACTGATGCATTTTCATTTTTATTTTTTAATCACTGTTGTAAAAACTCTCAGCTTCATGGTTTTGGGTTGAAATTTTAAAACTCGACAGTTTTACTTTTTGGATGTTTTACTTTAATGTGAACGAGGGCAGAGGCGCAGCATCTTTGTGAAATATGAACTATATCAAAGTATATCAAAGCACAATGTTTAATTAATGTCTTAATAAAAGAAACAGGGAGGGATGGGGGGGACAGGACACCCCCGGAGATTTTTTGTTTTCCGTCTCTGGCCATGCTGTAAATAGATGCATGTCGTTTTGTTTTCAGTTTGTTTTTTCCTGTGATCCAGTGCTTTTTGTACAGAAACAGTCTAATAAAGATTACATTTGGCTTGAAGCTATCGGCTGTCGGGAGTCTTGATGTTTAATCTGCTTCAGCAGAAGCTGAGAGGGACAAACCGTTTTATTTCCACATCATTAGCAGTCGTCCTCCAATGGGAGAGTTGGGGGTTCGATTCCACCAGCAGTCACATGTTGAAGGGTTGCTGGGCAAGACACTGAACCCCTCGTTGCCTCTGCTGTGTCCCCCATCGGTGTATGAATGTGATCTAAAGCACTGATTTGTCTCTACAGATTCAGATTATCTTTGTAGAGATGTAGTAGAGTGCAGTATGAATGCGTGTGGAGGTGAGAGCACAGATTGTGTTGTAAAGAGCTGATCTTGATTAGATAGAAAGGAGCTATATAAGTACAGTCAGTTTAATATTATCTCGAGTTTTATTTTAGTAAGGATCGGCTCCAATACTCAATACTCTAAACTCTTTATAATGGGAGAGTTTAAAGGAATAACGCAACCTGACTATCCTTTTCTTTATCTACTTAGAACCACAGGTACTTTTCAAGTTCCAATCTCCAATGAAACTTACAGTGATGTGTGGCTCTCCGGTCCTTCTGGACCACATATCAGTGGTGAGTGAGAAGCGAGAGATGTTGGCGAGCAGGGCAGCCAGATTTCAGTCGTCCCTCACTATAACGCAGTTCACTTCTTGCGGCTTCACTGTATCAGTTTTTTTTAACTCAGTTTTTTATATTGTGCGTACTGAACATTCATAGCATCTTCATCGCCAAAGTGTTTAAGAGCATACTGAAGTGTTTATAAGAGAGCGGGAAAGGTTTGTAGGAGTGTAGAAAGGGTTTATAAAACCTTAAATGTGTATAAATAAAAAATATAAAGCCGCAACTTTGCAGATTTTCTCTTACTGCTGGGGTCTCTGGAACATTTACATTTTTGGCAGTATTTTCTTGCAAAGTAATTCCAACTAGGGTAACTGGTATTTTTGGTCAAGGATTTTTATCAGTCGTCTGGCTCAACAGTTGAAAGTGGGATCATGTCTTTAGCGATTTGAAAGGCCGCATCTTTAATAATGTTGAGCCACTTCTTAGTTTTTCTCTCCTAAGGCCCCGTACGGATATATAGATCTTGTAATGTGGTTTGTTTTGGGGCAGGAGGCTTCATGGTCTGGGCTGCACCAGTTTCACACACTTCATTTTATGGCGCTGTAGGAAATGGTGGGAAAAGTTTGTGCTCAGCACATTTGTCAGGACCTTTTATTAGCGTTCTCTACATTATTCTGCTGCTCATTTACAGGTGATGTTCTCCAGGTGAAGCAGTGGGGCGAGATGTGTTCAGTGGGGGGTTTAAGAGAAAGACAAACTGGCAGAGCTACAAGTATAATTAGAACGATAGATGGATAATAGATCCATAAAAACGATATTGTCTTACCTTATATCTCGTATGTAAATGCATCAAGATTTCTTAAAAACTCGATGCATCGCTCAGTCCTGGGTTCAAATCTTAAAAAATGTTTTAAGTGTAAAAAAAAAATTTGAAAAATCCTGATTTACTTTGAGCTTCAACTCAAAACTAAATGAATAATAAAGAGAGATGGGTGATCCACTGTTACAGAGCTGTATGTCAGCATCATTTATATATATTATGGCAATGTGTTCAACATAATGGTACTTCCTCCAGTTATTTAACAGTCAACAATGGTGTACCACAAGGCTCAGTCTTAGGACCCACCCTCTTTACAATCTATATACATAATGTAGGTAAAAATAT